TACAGTTGACCCCTATCTATAGTCACATCCTTTTGGCAGCCCTTTTTTGTTGATTATAGACTGAGGGGATTATAAACAATGATAATTAATAAAGTCATGTGATTATAAAATCATATGATTATAAAATCTTTATTACTATTACTATTATTATCGTTATTATTATATTTAATTATTATAACTTTAAAAAAAAAAATTCTGAAATTAAAAAAAAAAAATAATTATAAAATTATAATTATAAAAAAAATATAAGAATTTACTAAAAAAAATGATCTAATATTAATTGCTTTTTTTCTTTTTGAATTTTAATAGAAGCATCTCGAATTAGTGCTCGCAATTTTGCTAAAAAATTAGTATCAATTTTTGTATTATCTTGTTCTTCACAATAATGAAGTGTATATTCAAGAGCTGCTTTTCCATCTTGTGCTGATATTGGAGGTGGAAGTAATTCATTATCACTATCGCTATCGATTGTATCATTAATATCATCATTATTATATTTTTTATTAACCAATTCTATAATTTGATTATCTGATATTGTCAAATCCTGCGTAGATTCAAATTGATCAATGTCAATATATTCCATAGCTGATAATTTCTCAGCATACGCAATATCAATATGATCAATAAGAACTTGTATTTCGGTTTGAAGTACTTCAGTAATATCTAATGATTCTGCTTGTCTTTGTTCATTTTCCAAAATACCAGTATGATGCCAACAATTCTGAATAGTATTAGTTGTTACTTCTCCCCAAGCATCTATAAGAAAGTATATTGCGTCTTTTAATGTTATTTTTTGTTCTGGGATTTTTCCATCATATTGACTAATTAAATGAAACAAGAACAATTTTCGGTAATGCGCCTTGAAAGCTGCAATAATCCCAGCATCTAATGGCTGCAAGTGTGCGGTTGTACTAGGTGGAAGGTATTTAAGAGTAACATTAGACAATTGTAGCAGATTATTTCCATGTGGTCCAGCATTGTCCACCAGTAATAAAATTTTTTTTTTTTTATGGTGCATTGTTCTATTTAATGAGTTTAACCACTCCGTAAAAATATTACTACGCATCCAAGCTTTTGAATTATGCCGATATGTAATTGGAAGAGTATTTATATTAATGTTACGAAAGCAATGTGGACGTGCAGTTTTGCCAATAACTAATGGTTGCAACTTGTCACTTCCTGTTGCATTACAGGCGAGAAGAATTGTGATACGACTTTTGTCTCGTTTGCTGCCACTAGTTTTTCCTGTTGCAAGAGTCATATTTGGAGGCATTCTAAAAAATAAGGCTGTTTCGTCAGCATTATAGACATCATCTAAGTCATATTCACTGATTATTTCACAAAGGCGGTTTCTTTCTTCTGACAATATTTCCAGTGGCACACTGTTTGCTTTACCTTGTAGCCTAACCCGCCGCAAGTTATTTCGCCTTTTGAAACTCTCTACCCATCCATCCGATGCTTTGAAATGTGCCTCTTCGGGAAAATGACAAGCAAACTCAAGTGCTTTTAATTGCAGTATCTTATCATTAATAATCTGATTAGCTGCTAGTGCGCCTGTTACCCATTGGCTTAATGCATCATTAACCTTAACAAATTTTTCTTTCCGCTCTTTAGTTAGTTGGCCAGCCTCACCAGAAGTATCTTTTCTCAACCATCGTTCTGATTCTGCAAGTATTTTTGTGACAGTTGAACGGTCAGCATCAAGTTGAAATTTTTCCAGCAATTCTCTCGCTTTGCAGGTGGGATTATCTCGTTTGTACACACAAAGTGCTTTTTTTGTTTCCATTGATATTGCCTTCCGCTTTCTCGTGTTTGTTTTCTGCATTTTTTTTGTGAGGATACAGATACTGACACAGAGTCTGGCCTGATCGCAGATTAATATAAACGCGTGAGTCTGTGAAACCTGATACAGCCACATGTGCTAAAAATTTATAAAATTAATTTAACACAAACCGAATTCGGCTTGTGCTAACTCATTATAAATCAAAAAAAAAAAATCGGGGAAGATGAAGGGAGATGAAGGAAATGAATGGAGAGAGAGGTGGATCAACTAAATTATCGATTGCTAGTAAGTTTCCCGAGCATATTTTCGTTATTTGTATATTGTTGAGTAAATTCTTGAGAAAAAGTGAATTAACTAAATTATCGATTTATAGACCGTAAGTTTTCACAAATACATTTTCGTTATTTGTATATTTTTAGCAACTATATTATCTTTATAGGTAGAAAGTTCTTAAGTGGATTAACTATATGTTGATTATCGACTTTATAGACTAAGTTCTCACAGGTGTATTTTAATATTATAAACGAGTATGAAATAATTTTGTTAATTAAAGTCATCTGCATATCTAAGGGGCTAAATGCAAGAAGTATCCAATCTTGATTAGAAAGTTCTTGTTTTCTTCGCAGAATTTAACTAAACTAGAAAAATTATTGTATCATAATTCCAGTGGCATACTTGGATTAGTTCGATAAAACTTCAAAATGTACAGTATATTGAAAAATAGATATAATGAGAAAAGGAGAATATTGTGAATCACCTTTTTCAATTGATCTTGCATTATTTCCTTCTCCGAAAAATAAATCTACAGACAATGGGCTTTGTTGATTATGATCGTTCAAGCTCTCTTCGTCAGCCCAAAATTCCAATGCTTTTATTAAATCCCCACCATATAACCTTTTTGCGAGATCGAAAATGCAATATCGAAGGTTTTTATGTCGAACAGGTGTTGTACTAAATGGCAGTAAATTTTTCAGTTTCTTGTTCTTCTTTGATGTACCCTCCGATTGGATTTGATGGGTAAGGTTGGTTTTGCATGCTGTGAGAGGGAGAATAAAAACGATGGTAACGCAATTGGGTCACGTGACCGACGATCGACCCGGGATCGCGAGAAGAAAAGGAAGGTAAAAATAGATCTGAAACTGGCGCTAAAGAAGAAATAATAATGATGTAATTAGTGTTAGATTAGATAATAGCGCCAGAAAGTAGTAGAAATTTCCTTACCTTTCGTTTTGTTTCTAAATGGTTCTTCTAGTTTCTCTGTAAAAGAGTATAAAATGTTAGCATTTATTCTTTAAAATAGAGGGTAGAGAGAGACGTAGATAGTGGTGACTAAAGTAAATTAATAAAGAGAAAGTACTTACCTCGGTCAAATAGAACGCCTCGCCGAAAA